ACTAACTACATAAATATTCTACAATTTTCAGAACGAAATTATTACAGGAGAATGTGCCTGAAGCACCAGAGCAGGTACTTCTCTGAAACACAGCTAGTTAGCAAGTTGCTAATCATAGTTATAACCCAGGTTCATATCCGCATGTACAATGTGAGAGCTGTCTAAGTTGATAAATCAGATACTATCCTTTTAAAGATGTTTCTCTTTACGCCTTGCCTATAATAGTACACTTCTTTACTTATTCAAAGCATGAATCCTCTTTACTCAGATCCTGTCCCTTTTGGCTCTGTACATCTCCTGGGAGTGCAGAATGTTTCAGTGGTAACTTAGTCTTTTGCACACTGTACAAGCCCATTTCACCAAAAAAAAAAAAAAAAAAAAAGGCTGTTCTTACCAGTGCAACACTTTGTGTTAAATAAAGATAATTAAGGCATCAACACCATGTCCACTTTGTGTTTGATTATTTTCTTCTTCACTATCACTTGTTACTAATAGTCAAAATACAGGCCATGAGAAAAAAAAAAGTGAAGTATGTATTATGATGTAAATCGAGAACAGAATATTGAAATACACTTCTGAACACTTTGCAACAAACAATTCTAAACCTAGTTATCTGAAATAAGTCCTCAATGTAAATGCTTATACATAATGAAAACGTTCTCATGTTTTGTGCCTATATTGCACAGGTACTATGATAACTTCGTTCTATTTATCATGTTCTAGGACATTCGCTAAGCAGAAAGCTGTAAAGAACTTTGTTCTTGAGACTTGCTTGTCATTATTAAAAACAGTCTCTGATGTATGTCTATATGTGTACATGTCTGTGCACAGTGAGAAAAAGGTGGTGCTTTCCTGCATGGTTAAACAGATTGCCCTCTTAATGCATGAATATAGAGTCCTGATAAGGCCATGTTACATGTACATATTTCTGAGGAAATGGACATTTTAGTTTATAGACACAGTCACATATGTGATAACCAACCATCCAATATGCTTCTGCAGTGCAGCATACTAGACAATGTTTGAAAGGTTTATAAACCAATTAACTGGCTACCTACCTGCTTAATCTGCTCAAATACCATCCTTTTTCACTACAAAACAAAGTGAAAAAAAACAGTATATTTTATAAAGTTACGTTTATAACTAATATGGGAAAACAAACAAGTATTTATATCTTAAAAATATGACTTAAAATTATGATGAAGGATGCAATCTTCCAAGCTGCAAAGTGATTTTTCCGTAATACACACTGAGCTTTCTTATCTGTGTCTGTCTTTGCTGAAAGTTAACAGCAGCTGAGCTCCTGACAGGCAATGTTCAGCATCTTGAGGGCTGCAATTTTAAATCTGTGATCCAGAAAAAAAAAAACTCCCTTAAACTCATCCCCGTTCAGGAAAATACTTTTGGATATATTTTAACTTTTGGCAAGTGCTTAAGATTTACTGAATCCTAAGGAATTTAAACATTTGCTTACCACTAAGTAGATATGTACATAAGACCCCCTACTGAACTCAATTGCTAATTTAGGACCTAAAGGAGTATTTTGGAGTGTAGTATCATAAAAAAAAAAAAAAAAAAAAAAAAAAAAAAAAAAAAAAAACAGCTTTCAAATTATAAACACATGAAAGGCAGATAGAAAAAAAAAAAAAAGAGAAAGTGAATGTTAAGATTTAAATACCTCCATTTTAAGCCTTACACTTAAAATACTTAATTCAAGAAAGAACAGAGTAACAAGCTTTTATTTTTCTTTTAGTCTTAGACATTTATGTTCTCCTATATAATACTGTATCAAACAAGATGCACTTGGGAACTCATGTGAGGCATTCCGGAAGGAAATCTCATATAATCACAACGAAAACAACTTGCAGTCATTTGGGTACACCAATCAGTCACGTAAGATGAGACTTCATTTCCTGATGGCTATATTGTGGATATACAAAAGTATCAATTACTGATTCTAATTACATTAATGGCAAATAAGTATCACTCTCATCTACAGTACCTAGAACACATACTTCCTGCTCTGTCTTACTCATTTTAAAACTTTATCAACTTCCTAATGTCTCCTTGGAACAAAAGCTGGAATCCTTAGTCAAAGCAGGAATGTACAGCTGAACTAGAACTACTTGGTATAACACCAAATCATACTGGTTTATTTATAACTGCTCCACATTTCTCTCCAAACATCATACTGAACAAGAGTTCCACACGCTTTTTTTTTTTTAATGCTAAAATACTAGTATTGTGGCCTGACAAATTAACAAATGCTCCACTGCCAATGTTTGAGATATGTAAAGTGTCTGTACTATTTATGCACGTATGCCTTAAGGCATTATGGTATTATGCAAAAGTGTGCACAAAATGACCTAAGTGTCACTCAGTAACAAGTTGGCAGGCATCTAGAAGAAAACTGTAACAAAACTTGTATCAACTAGCCTCTCCTAGGGAAGTTTTTATTTAGCATTAGCCTTACTAGTTCCTGAAAACTTTCCTTAACTTACATGCATGCTTAGCAGGTGCATAAGAACTTTTGACACACTTTAAAATAAAAAGACATGTCATTAGAAAGAATATCAGCTGAAAGCTATTCAGCTAAATTAACTTTCACAACAAATGAGACACCTAGTAGAGGGAAAAAAAAAAAAAAAAAAAAAAAAAAAGGAAGAGAGACTGTCAAGACACCAAGAATCTGGATTCGTACCAAGCTAAATAAATAATGAAGCAATTCAGAATGTATTTCTTTCAGTTTGATTGTTGCAAGTGAAAGTGTAATAAAGCCATTTTCTTCTACTAAAAAGTCTTTTAATGTATTGTATTTGAAAAATATGTCTTTACAGAACGTTAAATAATTCAAAGCAAAATATATTTTTGTAATATACCCTCAAAGGAGGTTTATATCAAGCAAAGCAGTCATCTGCATGGTCTTTATCATACCTTTATCATTCCTTTATCCTGCATTTACCTTTCACAGCATTTTTTCCCCTAAAAATAAATTACACTTTCGACAGGTTTTAATTTCTGTATTTAGATGAATTGCACTAGCAAGAAAGATTTAATATCTGGTTCACATAGGTTCCACTTCTACTTTGTTGTTAATGGTCACTAAAAAAGTCATAATCTGTCTACTACGCACTTAATAAATGTTACCAGATGTAATACTGGGAACTTTCTTAGTACTTCATATTTTATATGGACTATATTTTCAAACCAAAATTATAATGTTCTCTCCAGGAGAGAGCTAATGAAATGTACTACCGAGAAACTACCGTGTCAAATGTTCTATGAAACATTTGTACGACTTGTAAAACAACACACACAAAAATAGTGGCAGATACCACATCAATCACACATTTCTGGAGAACTGGAGGTCTGAGTGGCTCATACAGTGCAACTCCTATTGCAATATTTTAAGTATTTTTAAGCAGACTACAAATATTGGTTACACACTAAAAATCTAGCAGCCTAGCAGATGTCTCTATTAAAAAATGCCATAGTGTACCATATTTGCATGTTAATAAGTTGAAAATAAAGCTTTTTTTTCAAACTAGTCAGAATGTCCCTGTTCCAGACTTGGCTCCCTATCTGCACGAATCAGCTACTTCTAGATCCCTGTGTAGCATGCACTACTAGCTGAGAAATCTCTCTCAATATGTATTTTAACTGGGATACAATGGAAATCACCAAATGTGTATCATTTATCTCATTTTACAGTCACCCAAATATCGTAACATGGAAAAATATCTCTGTTCAGGCTACATATGTCTCTTATAAAATATCTTATCCTACAAAATAACACTGACACATTCCCTGGCGTGTGATTCCCCACTGTGGTAACTGTGGAATCCCTGCTTTATTCTGGGAACTGTAAAGCAGTCCCTCTCATCTCAGTTTTAGGCTATCAGAGCTTCACTGAACCGATCTCAGTGAGCAGAGCCAGGATCAGAGCCAGTCACTTGTGGCACTCTTAAATAAAGGGACACCTCCCTCTGAGGGCTTCACTGAAGTCAGGAAGAACTGCAGGCAGAGCTATGAAGGGGCTGGGCAGGTAAACAAAAGCCCCCTGGTGTGACTTAATGAATTTCGTGTGATATACACGGGGAAAAAATATATATATATACTGAAGATTCATTTATAGTGATGCTCACTTGCATCACTGTATTCATAGCTCCTGCTGAACCCAGTGAAACTCCAATGGTGTAAATTACATCACGGGGAGGCTTGTAGATTATTAGGGTATTTTGATCCTAATGAAGGAGCCGATAATTAGAGCCATTAACGCTTCAAAAGTTGCACATTCACACGCGGCCTTTCGAGGCGCGTGCGTGTGTGTGCCGCGCGCTGGGGGCTACGCGCGGCCCCCCCGCAGCGAGGCGGCAGCTCGCCCTCCCTGCGCCCGGGGGCAGCTCAGCCTCCGCTTCCCCCCGCAGGGTCTCTAAAGGGCACTGGGGAGGGGGGAGTCTCCCTTCCTCCTAACTGCTGCCATCAGCCTCCTCTCGCCTTCAGTGGGCGCTAATGAGGGGCGAGGGTTGAGCGGGCGGCCCCGCGGCGGGACGGCCCGCGCTGCCCGCCCACCCGCCTCGTTTAGCCACCCGCGCGCTGCCCTGGCCGTTGGCGGTTGGCGGCGACCGTTACTCGCCGCCCCTCCCCACGCGGCCGTTACGGGCGGGGGCGAGGCGCCCCCGGGGGCGGGGCCGGCGCAGAGAGGCGGCGCGGCCACGGTGCCAGCGAGCCAAAAAATAAAAAAAAA